TTGACAATATTCTTATTGTTTTTTAAACCAATATCTGGTTTGGATTTAGATAGTTTTTTTTTTTTTTTTTTTTATTAGTTTTTTGTTTTTTTGTTTTTTTTTGTTTTTTTTTTTTTTTTGTTTTTTTTTTTGGCAATCGGATCTTTCCGAATTATATACCAAATTTTGTTATTACCGTGTTAAGATATTCAAGATATTTCTGCTACTTGTTTTATAATATTTGGTTTCTTTCGAAGTTGCTGTCTGCATCTATGCTAACTTAGCCTAACTGTTTTGTTAGGGAGAAATCCGAAAGACATTTTCATTTTAGACCGTATTTATACGTTTATCTTTTAAGTACATGTTGCTATTGTTTCTAAGAATTCTCGTACCTTCAGAAGGAATGAAAACAATGTACTATTTCAAATAGTTGTTCACTTTGTTCACCTTCTTCATTAGATATATTAAATCCATCAATCCTCATTCTTTAGTGGAATTTAATATTATTTTCGTAGGGTATTTCTCTGTTTTTTGTCTATAATTATGGTTAAATATAGCAAAATCAGATATTCCCAGGGAGGCAACTCTGCCCATTGAAACGCCAACGATCTGTTGCTAGTATAATAGTATAACTTTCGTTGTTCATTGACAATCATATTTATTTGTTATTAGTTTCCATGTAACCTTCAACAGCTTGACATAATAATTATTATCGATATTAGTTGCTTAACGTCCTGTTGCCAATATTTCATGTATGCTTAGGACTGTGATATAGTGATGACATAAGGTTGTTTACTAGTATAATAGTATAACTTTCATAGTTCGTTGACAATCATATTAGTTTTAGTTAGTTTCCATGCAACCTTCTAAGGTTTGACACGAGACAGCGATAAATTAACGATTTTTGGTTGCTTACCATCCAGTGGCAAATATTTCATGTATGTTAAGGAATATGATATAGTGATGACATAAGGTTGTTTGCAAGTATAATAGTATAACTTCCATAGTTCATTGAAAATCATATTAATTTGTAGTTAGTTTCCATGCTACCTTCTAAGGTTTGACATGATACAGCGATAAATTAAAGATTGTTGGTTGCTAAGCATCCAGTGTCAAATATTTCATGTATGTTTAAGACTGATATAGTGATGACATAAGGTTGTTTGCTAGTATAATAGTATAACTTCCATAGTTCATTGACAATCATATTAGTTTGTAGTTAGTTTTCATGATACCTTCTAAGGTTTGACATGATACATCATCCAGTGGCAAATATTCCATGTATGTTTAGGACTATGATATAGTGATGACATAAGGTTGCTTGCTAGTATAATAGTATAACTTCCATAGTTCATAGACAATCATATAAGTTTGAAGTTAGTTCCATGCTACCTTCTAAGGTTTGACATGATATAGCGATAAATTAACGATTGTTAGTTGCTTAGCATGCAGTGGCAAATATTTCATGTATGTTTAGGACTATGATATAGTGATGACATAAGGTTGTTTGCTAGTATAATAGTATAACTTCCATAGTTCATTGACAATCATATTAGTTTGTAGTTAGTTTTCATGATACCTTCTAAGGTTTGACATGATACAGCGATAAATTAAAGATTGTTGGTTGCTTAGCATCCAGTGGCAAATATTTCATGTACGTTTAGGACTATGATATACGGATGACATAAGGTTGTTTGCTAGTATAATAGTATAACTTCCATAGTTCATTGACAATCATATTAGTGTGTAGTTAATTTTCATGCTACCTTCTAAGGTTTGACATGAAACAGTGATGAACTAAAGATTTGTTGGTTGCTTAGCATCCAGTGGCAAATATTTCATGTATGTTTAGGACTATGATATAGTGATGACATAAGGTTGTTTGCTAGTATAAAAGTATAACTTCCATAGTTCATTGACAATCATATTAGTTTGTAGTTAGTTTCCATGCTACCTTCTAAGGTTTGACATGATACAGCGATGAATTGAAGATTTGTTGGTTGCTTAGCATCCAGTGGCAATAATTTCATGTACGTTTAGGACTATGATATAGTGATGACATAAGGTTGTTTGCTAGTATAATAGTATAACTTCCATAGTTCATTGACAATCATATTAGTTTGTAGTTAGTTTCCATGCTACCTTCTAAGGTTTGACATGATTCAGCGATGAATTAAAGATTTGTTGTTTGCTTAGCATCCAGTGGCAAATATTTCATGTATGTTTAGAACTATGATACATATAGTGGTGAAACAAGGTTGTTTGCTAGTATAATAGTATAACTTCCATAGTTCATTGACAATCATATTAGTTTGTAGTTAGTTTCCATGCTACCTTCTAAGGTTTGACACGATACAGCGATGAATTATTGATTGTGGTTACTTAAAGTCCAGTGACAAATATTTCATGTTTGTTTAAGACGATGATATATATAGTGATAACATAAGGTTGTTTGCTAGTATAATAGTATAACTTCCCTAGTTCATTTACAATCATATCAGTTTGTAATTATTTTCATGTTACCTTCTTAGGTTTTACATAGTGATGAATTATTGATTGTTGATTGCTATACGTCCAATTGCAAATATTTCAAGTATGTTTAAGGACTATGTTGACATAAGGTTGTTTGCTAGTATAATAGTATAACTTCCATGTTTCAGTCAAATATGATTCGGTATCATTTTCCAATATATATATATATATATCAGTGTCTTGTATGTTATATGCATACATTTTGTTTCTGTATTATTTTATTTTATTTTTATTCATTACTTTATTGTTTCAGGTATATCTTTGTTTCATATGTAAATAGTGATAGCTATATAGTAGATCTATGTTATTTACATAATTAGTTACATGTATATTGTATAAGATGTACAGTGTTATATACATAAAGAAAGATGTACAGTATTATATACATATAGAATTGTATACTATTACATTGTGCATATAGTGTAGTGTTGTACGTAGTTTCTCGATCAGAAATACGTCGTACCATAGCATAAATAAGGATCAAAAATTCTATAATTAAATAGAACCTGATTCAACGGGTGAGATCACAACTAGTGAAATATTCACCGTATCAAATTGTTTTAAATTGTTTTATAAAAAGACCATAAACCCACTTATTCATGGTATGGTATCAATATTTCTGACCTGACACTACGTACTTTTTATTGCTTAATTCTTGAGAATTTAATATGCAATGTTTCGGGTTCTTTCGGGAGTATTCCCAGGTAAACCCTCATCAGAGGCCGACCTTTAGCTATTTATTTCGTATCTAGTATCATAGAAAGATGTGTGTCTGTTTCATAACAGTTTTTTTTTTATTTAATTTATTAACTACACGTGCATATAGGTCTACGTTGTAGCTAGTCTTTTTACAGACTAAAGAAACTGACCAAGTAGATCAGCACCTTTGGTTAATTATTCATATATATAATGAAAAGACTTATTGTCTTTAATCTCGTAATCTAATCTATCATAAATCTACACGAGATCTAATAGAGATAGTAGTTATCAGTGCTATACTGTTGAATTCACACTAGACTGTCGTGTATGTTTTAACACCTATTTGATAATATACAAATGTCTCCATGTTTAACAATTGAAGAGGTTTGTGTAGATACCATGTCGGGTCTATGCATGAATATAACAGGAACCATTCTGTTTTCCCTTGTACGTGATCTCTTGAAATAAATCGGCATCACGTCTTTTTACATCTGTTTCACAGTATAATGATTGTATACTAAAGCCTCCCGTGGTGGGGTATTGTGAATCAATGTCTTCGGCTTAATGATTAATTATCATGTTGACAATATTCTTATTGTTTTTTAAACCAATATCTGGTTTGGATTTAGATAGTTTTTTTTTGTTTTTTTTTATTAGTTTTTTGTTTTTTTGTTTTTTTTTTTTTTTTTTTTTTTTTTTTTTTTTTTTTTTGGCAATCGGATCTTTCCGAATTATATACCAAATTTTGTTATTACCGTGTTAAGATATTCAAGATATTTCTGCTACTTGTTTTCTAATATTTGGTTTCTTTCGAAGTTGCTGTCTGCATCTATGCTAACTCAGGCTAACTGTATTTGTTAGGGAGAAATCCGCAAGACATTTACACTTTAGACCGTAATTATACGTTTATCTTATAAGTACATGTTGCTATTGATTCTAAGAATTCTCGTACCTTCAGAAGGAATGAAAACAATGTACTATTTCAAATAGTTCTTCACTTTGTTCACCTTCTTCATTAAATATATTAAATCCATCAATTCTCATTCTTTAGTGGAATTTAATATTATTTTCGTAGGGTATTTCTCTGTTTTATGTCTATAATTATGGTTAAATATAGCAATATCAGATATTTCCAGGGAGGCAACTCTGCCCATTGAAACGCCAACGATCTGTTGCTAGTATAATAGTATTACTTTCGTTGTTCATTGACAATCATATTTATTTGTTATTAGTTTCCATGTAACCTTCAACGGCTTGACATAATAATTATTATCGATATTAGTTGCTTAACGTCCTGTTGCCAATATTTCATGTATGTTTAGGACTGTGATATAGTGATGACATAAGGTTGTTTGCTAGTATAATAGTATAACTTCCATAGTTCGTTGCCAATCATATTAGTTGTAGTAAGTTTCCATGCTACCTTCTAAGGTTTGACATGATACAGCGATAAATTAACGATTTTTGGTTGCTTAGCATCCAGTGGCAAATATTTCATGTATGTTAAGGAATATGATATAGTGATGACATAAGGTTGTTTGCTAGTATAATAGTATAACTTCCATAGTTCATTGACAATCATATTAATTTGTAGTTAGTTTCCATGCTACCTTGTAAGGTTTGACATGATATAGCGATAAATTAAAGATTTTTAGTTGCTAAGCATCCAGTGGCAAATATTTCATGTATGTTTAGGACTATGATATAGTGATGACATAAGGTTGTTTGCTAGTATAACAGTACAACTTCCATAGTTCATTGACAATCATATTAGTTGTAGTAAGTTTCCATGCTACCTTCTAAGGTTTGGCATGATACAGCGATAGATTAAAGATTGTTGGTTGCTTAGCCTCCAGTGGCAAATATTTCATGTATGTTTAGGACTATGATATAGTGATGACATAAGGTTGTTTGCTAGTCTAATAGTATAACTTCCATAGTTCATTGACAATCATATTAGTTTGTAGTTAGGTTTCATGCTACCTTCTAAGGTTTGTCATGATACAGCGATAAATTAAAGATTGTTGGTTGCTAAGCATCCAGTGGCAAATATTTCATGTATGTTTAAGACTGATATAGTGATGACATAAGGTTGTTTGCTAGTATGATAGTATAACTTCCATAGTTCATTGACAATCATATTAGTTTGTAGTTAGTTTTCATGATACCTTCTAAGGTTTGACATGATACAGCATCCAGTGGCAAATATTCCATGTATGTTTAGGACTATGATATAGTGATGACATAAGGTTGCTTGCTAGTATAATAGTATAACTTCCATAGTTCATTGACAATCATATTAGTTTGTAGTTAGTTTTCATGATACCTTCTAGGGTTTGACATGATACAGCATCCAGTGGCAAATATTCCATGTATGTTTAGGACTATGATATAGTGATGATATAAGGTTGTTTGCTAGTATAATAGTATAACTTCCATAGTTCATTGACAATCATATTAGTTTGTAGTTAGTTTCCATGCTACCTTCTAAGGTTTGACATGATATAGCGATAAATTAACGATTGTTGGTTGCTTAGTATCCAGTGGCAAATATTTCATGTATGTTTAGGACTATGATATAGTGATGACATAAGGTTGTTTGCTAGTATAATAGTATAACTTCCATAGTTCATTGACAATCATATTAGTTTGTAGTTAGTTTTCATGATACCTTCTACGGTTTGACATGATACAGCGATAAATTAAAGTTTGTTGGTTGCTTAGCATCCAGTGGCAAATATTTCATGTACGTTTAGAACTATGATACATATAGTGGTGAAACAAGGTTGTTTGCTAGTATAATAGTATAACTTCCATAGTTCATTGACAATCATATTATTGTAATTAGTTTCCATGCTGCCTTCTAAGGTTTGACATGAAACAGCGATGAACTAAAGATTTGTTGGTTGCTTAGCATCCAGTGGTAAATTTTTCATGTATGTTTAGGACTATGATTTAGTGATGACATAAGGTTGTTTGCTAGTATAAAAGTATAACTTCCATAGTTCATTGACAATCATATTAGTTTGTAGTTAGTTTTCATGCTACCTTCTAAGGTTTGACATGATACAGCGATGAATTGAAGATTTGTTGGTTGCTTAGCATCCAGTGGCAAATATTTCATGTATGTTTAGGACTATGATATAGTGATGACATAAGGTTGTTTGCTAGTATAATAGTATAACTTCCATAGTTCATTGACAATCATATTAGTTTGTAGTTAGTTTCCATGCTACCTTCTGAGGTTTGACATGATTCAGCGATGAATTAAAGATTTGTTGGTTGCCTAGCATCCAGTGGCAAATATTTCATGTATGTTTAGAACTATGATACATATAGTGGTGAAACAAGGTTGTTTGCTAGTATAATAGTATAACTTCCATAGTTCATTGACAATCATATTAGTTTGTAGTTAGTTTCCATGCTACCTTCTAAGGTTTGACACGATACAGCGATGAATTATTGATTGTGGTTACTTAAAGTCCAGTGACAAATATTTCATGTATGTTTTAGACGATGATATATATAATGATAACATAAGGTTGTTTGCTAGTATAATAGTATATCTTCCCTTAGCTAGTTCATTTACAATCATATCAGTTTGTAATTATTTTCCATGTTACCTTCTTAGGTTTTACATAGTGATGAATTATTGATTGTTGATTGCTATACGTCCAATTGCAAATATTTCAAGTATGTTTAAGGACTATGTTGACATAAGGTTGTTTGCTAGTATAATAGTATAACTTCCATGTTTCAGTCAAATATGATTCGGTATCATTTTCCAATATATATATATATATCAGTGTCTTGTATGTTATATGCATACATTTTGTTTCTGTATTATTTTATTTTATTTTTATTCATTACTTTTTTGTTACAGGTATATCTTTGTTTCATATGTAAATAGTGATAGCTATATAGTAGATCTATGTTATTTACATAATTAGTTACATGTATATTGTATAAGATGTACAGTGTTATATACATAAAGAAAGATGTACAGTATTATATACATATAGAATTGTATACTATTACATTGTGCATATAGTATAGTGTCGTACGTAGTTTCTCGATCAGAAATACGTCGTACCATTGCATAAATAAGGATCAAAAATTCTATAATTAAATAGAACCTGATTCAACGGGTGAGATCACAACTAGTGAAATATTCACCGTATCAAATTGTTTTATAAAAAGACCATAAACCCACTTATTCATGGTATGGTATCAATATTTCTGACCTGACACTACGTACTTTTTATTGCTTAATTCTTGAGAATTTAATATGCAATGTTTCGGGTTCTTTCGGGAGTATTCCCAGGTAAACCCTCATCAGAGGCCGACCTTTAGCTATTTATTTCGTATCTAGTATCATAGATAGATGTGTGTCTGTTTCATAACAGTTTTTTTTTTATTTAATTTATTAACTACACGTGCATATAGGTCTACGTTGTAGCTAGTCTTTTTACAGACTAAAGAAACTGACCAAGTAGATCAGCACCTTTGGTTAATTATTCATATATATAATGAAAAGACTTATTGTCTTTAATCTCGTAATCTAATCTATCATAAATCTACACGAGATCTAATAGAGATAGTAGTTATCAGTGCTATACTGTTGAATTCACACTAGACTGTCGTGTATGTTTTAACACCTATTTGATAATATACAAATGTCTCCATGTTTAACAATTGAAGAGGTTTGTGTAGATACCATGTCGGGTCTATGCATGAATATAACAGGAACCATTCTGTTTTCCCTTGTACGTGATCTCTTGAAATAAATCGGCATCACGTCTTTTTACATCTGTTTCACAGTATAATGATTGTATACTAAAGCCTCCCGTGGTGGGGTATTGTGAATCAATGTCTTCGGCTTAATGATTAATTATCATGTTGACAATATTCTTATTGTTTTTTAAACCAATATCTGGTTTGGATTTAGATAGTTTTTTTTTTTGTTTTTTTTTATTAGTTTTTTGTTTTTTTGTTTTTTTTGTTTTTTTTGTTTTTTGTTTTTTTTTTTTTGGCAATCGGATCTTTCCGAATTATATACCAAATTTTGTTATTACCGTGTTAAGATATTCAAGATATTTCTGCTACTTGTTTTCTATTATTTGGTTTCTTTCGAAGTTGCTGTCTGTAGCTATGCTAACTCAGCCTAACTGTATTTGTTAGGGAGAAATCCGCAAGACATTTACACTTTAGACCGTAATTATACGTTTATCTTATAAGTACATGTTGCTATTGATTCTAAGAATTCTCGTACCTTCAGAAGGAATGAAAACAATGTACTATTTCAAATAGTTCTTCACTTTGTTCACCTTCTTCATTAAATATATTAAATCCATCAATTCTCATTCTTTAGTGGAATTTAATATTATTTTCGTAGGGTATTTCTCTGTTTTATGTCTATAATTATGGTTAAATATAGCAATATCAGATATTTCCAGGGAGGCAACTCTGCCCATTGAAACGCCAACGATCTGTTGCTAGTATAATAGTATTACTTTCGTTGTTCATTGACAATCATATTTATTTGTTATTAGTTTCCATGTAACCTTCAACGGCTTGACATAATAATTATTATCGATATTAGTTGCTTAACGTCCTGTTGCCAATATTTCATGTATGTTTAGGACTGTGATATAGTGATGACATAAGGTTGTTTGCTAGTATAATAGTATAACTTCCATAGTTCGTTGCCAATCATATTAGTTGTAGTAAGTTTCCATGCTACCTTCTAAGGTTTGACATGATACAGCGATAAATTAACGATTTTTGGTTGCTTAGCATCCAGTGGCAAATATTTCATGTATGTTAAGGAATATGATATAGTGATGACATAAGGTTGTTTGCTAGTATAATAGTATAACTTCCATAGTTCATTGACAAAAAAACAAAAAACAATTTGATATCAACGGAAGTTATACTATTATACTAGTAGACGAACTTATGTCATTACATTATCATCGTCCTAAACATACATGAAATATGTGCCACTGGACGTTAAACAAACAACAATCAATCATACATCATGATATCAACGGAAGTTATGCTATTATACTAGCAGACGAAATTATGTCATCCCAATATCATCGTCCTAAAGATACATGAAATATGTGCCACTGGACATCTAGAAACAAACAATAAATCATTCATCAGTGTATCTCATTGAGAAAGCTTACATTAGTGTTTTAATAAATACAAATGAAATACATGGCAGTAAAAATTAAAAGAAGTCACTAGTTAATATTTCTAAGGGAATATAAATAATAACACCGATACAGAAATAAGAAGTGTATGCCTATCTACCAGTGGCTACGCCTATATTCCCAAATCGAAGAATTCGATTGGTTGCCGCAATAATTATCATCTATTATTCAATTTACATAAGGCTCTAATAATGACCTTTATTTCAACAAAGCGCAATTCTGCCATTGATCACTGACACCATTGATAATCATGGGTCATACTAGAAGATATTATAAAAACAAGAAAAGAAATAAAACAAAGAATAAGCATATAAGATTTAAACACAATCTTGCTATTGAAAATAAGAGACGGGACCTAAACTTTCATAAAGAGTTCGTCCTTAACTTATCTAAAAGAGATATAACTGAAACTGAATTTAAAGTTATAGCAAAAGGTTTAAAATTTGTTCCTACAAACAAATGTTAACCACAGACAATTGATAAAAGATTTTCAATCATTTGAGAGGTCGTTGCGACTGAAATATTATTTCGGTACTAATGTACGCATAGCAACTAAAAACCACCCTTTCAAAATTAAGTCTAACTTTCAAGTTCCAATCATTGGCGATAATTCAATAGAAAAATACATTTTCTACACAAAACACGAACTATCAAAATATATGCCGAAGATTAAATACAATATGTCGAAATCGGAACGTGAATGCATACAGAAATTAAAAATCGACAATACTATATGTATTCATAAAGCCGATAAAAATAACACGACTGTAATACAGAATAAACGTGATTATCTTATTGAAGGCGAATCCCAATTAAATGACGGTATTCACTATACTAAAATAATAAATATTGACATAGAAAACACCAGAAAAATAGTCAATAAAATGGTATACCGTATGAAAGAAAATGATGAAATAGACGAAATGTCTTTCAAATTCTTACGAGAAGAAGGTAAAACATTTAAAACTCCAAAAGCCTACTTCCTTCCTAAGATTCACAAACTTAGTACGGAAACATTAGAAATGTACCAAAATAAATGTATGAATAAAGAAAAAGTACATGTACCAGGTCGACCGATTATTAGCCAATGCTCGGGACCACTACTAAATATTGGAAAATACCTAGATTATTTTCTTCTTCCACTGGTGAAGACACAAGATACATATCTATCAGATACTAGCGATTTTATCAGATACATAGAAAATACTCACACGGAACAGAGTGATTTACTTGTTTCCTATGATATAACATCGTTATATACTAATCTTAATTTCAATGAAATTAAAACGGCTATAGAAAATACGCTTACAGACCATGTAAATCAAGAATATGATATTAAAAGACCATCCACAGAAAGTCTACTTGATATTCTTAGTATTTTACTGACAAAAAATGAATTTACTTTTAATGAAAACGCATATAAACAAATCGTTGGCGTTTCAATGGGCGGAGTTGCTTCCCCGGAAATATCTGATATTGCTATATTTGACCATATAAATAATATTATAGAACAATATCCATACAAAGATAATATTAAATTTCATAAACAAATGAGAGATGATGGCTTTATTATATTTAATGGATGCAGTGAGCAAATTAAACAACTATTTGAAATAGCAAATAAGAAACATAACCTGCTGAAATTCACTTTTGAAATAAATACTCATACTATGAAATTCTTAGATATTGTATTGTATAAAGGAAAAACGGTTTACCACATCTAAGATACTAGATGTAAACTGTTACACCAAACCCACTGAAAAATTTCAGTATATACATAGAAGCTCGAGTCATGCTCCTACCTGTTTTTCTTCTTTTATTAAAGGAGAAGGGAATAGAATTCTTAGAAACACCAGCAGTAAGGACGAATTTAATAAACGTATTAAACTGTTTATAGATAAATTATCTAGACGGGGATACACGAAAGAAATCGTCAGTCAAATATTGCACAAAATTCGTCACGAAGACAGACAGTTAAAACTTCGGAAGAAACAATATAAGAATAAAATAAAAGGCAGAAATATGTTCATTACAACGTATCATTATAATGCTGAATATCTTAAAAAGATTATAACAAAGTTCTGGTATATAATTCGGAAAGATCCGATTGCCAAACAAATATTTAAATCTAAACCAGATATGGGTTTCAAAAACAATAAGAATATTAGCGACATGATAATTAATCATTAAGTCGAAGAACCCCTCCACAGGAGGCTTTATAATATAGTGTATACTGTTGAAACAGATGTAATAAAGACATGACACCGATTTATTTCAATAGATCACGTATCTGAGATAACCGACGGTTTCTTATATGTTCATGTTTCTACCCGGCAGGGTTCATACACATATTTCTTCAAATGCTAAACATGGAGACTTTTGTATATTATCATATAGATGATAAAACAAACACGCCAGTATACCCTGAATTCAACAATATGACATTGATAAATACTATCTCTACTATATCCCGTGTAGACTTATGTTGAAGTAATTAGTGATAAAAATAAAGACAATAAGTCTCTTCATTAATTAAACAAAAGTGCTGATCAACTTGGTCAGTTTCTTCAGTCTGTAAAAAGACTAGCTACAACGTAGACCTATATGCACGTGTAGTTAATAAATTAAAAAAACTGTTATGAAACAGACAAACATCTATCTATGATATTAGATATGAAATAAATACATAAAGGTCGGCCTCTGATGAGGGTTTACCTGGGAATACTCCCGAAAGAACCCGAAACATTGCATATTAAATTCTAAAGAATTAAGCAATAAAAAGTACGTAGTGTCAGGTCAGAAATATTGATACCATACCATGAATAAGTGGGTTTATGGTCTTTTTATAAAACTATTTGATACGGTGAATATTTCACTAGTTGTGATCTCACCCGTTGAATCAGGTTCTATTTAATTATAGAATTTTTGATCCTTATTTATGCTATGGTACGACGTATTTCTGATCGAGAAACTACGTACGACACTATACTATATGCACAATGCAATAGTATGCATCCTTCTATATGTTTATAATATTGTACATCCTATACAATATACATATACCATGTTATGTAAATAACAGAAATCTGATATATAAGTTAAGTGAATAACTAATATCTATGTATACACAATGAAGTGACATAAATATAAAATATATAAAATAAAATAATATAATACAAAAATAAAACCTATGTATAGAACATACAGGAAAATAATATGTACATATAAAAATGATGTTGAATCATATTTTTTATTAAATAATTAATTAAATGATAATAATCCCGTTTCATCGAAATGGGAGGTGACAATAATGACAATAATATTGTCACACAATACAGGACAATATAAAGCACCAATGAATAGTGTGATATTTAATTTATGATCCTGTCACCACTAATCAGGCGATATGCCCCCATAAATAGGGATGCATGGTATTTATCTGTTACATATGCAATAATTATGGACATTAAAGTAGACATCGATATTGATACTGATAGCCTAGACTTGATGGATGATGAAATGCCTCCATGTGGTCAAAATGCCAGAAGTGATTTGGAAAATATTGATGACACTATTTCAGAAGTCAGGAAACTGAATGATACCAGATTTCCGCTCCTGACACTGATTCACAGAATGAAATTTGACAGAGAGAGTGACAATTTTTTGTGTCTGAACATTTCATTTAGGCCAAACTATGGCAACAAAGAAAACTTTGAAGCTCTGAAAGAGCCAATGGATAAATGTCTGATAGAGGCCAAAGAACAGGCATATCAGTCGGTGCTTAATATACTAGGTACCCGCGTGCAAGAACTAAATTCCACCATCAGTACCGTGTTAAACACAGGAATATCGTTCTTTGATATCAACAGCCCACCAAGTGGAGAGGCTAGGACTAAACTAGCCAAAGAGGCCAACAATATTAACGAGGAGTACACATTAAAGTTGAGAAAGTTCATTACGGACATGAGACACAAATCCCGTTCTGACAAAGAGAGCCCTAGAGGGCCAACCAGAGAAAGGGACGAAAGAAGAACCCCATACTCCAGGAACGAAAGACGGGATAAGACTCCCAAAAACAGATCTAGAAAACAAAGAGACAATACATCTAAAAACAATGACCTGCTGAGTATGTTCAAGGACCTTATAAAATGGCGCTAACACTAGTGAATAAACATACCTTGTTGTGAACTTCTAAACTATGTATATACATGTATTAATAATATACAGTTCATAATTATATGTTTTCACAACTCAATTTTGTTTATCATTGATTAATGAGAGTCATCTGATCAAGTACTTAAATATTGATTATCAATGAAATATGGAAGTTATACTATTAAACTAGCAAGCAACCATTTTTCATCGTTATATCATGTAAAACCCTAGAAGGAACATGAACAACTAACCAAAAATAACAAACAAAAAACTACAATTATGATTGTCAATGAATTATGGAAATTATACTATTATACTAGCAAACAACCATGCTTCATCGTTATATCATGTCAAACCCTTGAATCAAACACATATTAAATGAATATGTTTGTCAATGGAGTATGGAAGTTATACTATTATATTAGCAAACAACCATCTTTCATCGCTATATCATGTCAAACCTTAGAAGGTAACATCGAAATTGATAACAAGTTAACATAAAAGGAAAGTTTGTAC